ACCAACATCTGGTGAAAATTTCATGTCATTAGCACCTCTAGTAATATATTTACTGAGAAAAATGGTGACGTGTTCAATACTTATTTTACCCGCTGTATATCTACAATCAAGTTCTTGACTATTCTTGAGTTAAAAAGCAGAACCTTCTATTACACCATTCACAAACCATAACTCCAAACACATCTGCATGAGAAGGAAAGACAATAAAATGAAGAGTAAAAGACAAATCATGAGCAATGATGAACGAGGAAATAAACAACACCACAAAATCTTAGTCTTTAGGTGCTTGTATTCCCAAAACAGACAAAAACAGTGCAAATAATGAATTCTGCTGGAAGGAGAGGCCAGCAGGAAACAGATTTGTGCATTTTTTAAACTTTTCTATGAACTGAGAATATATGCTGAATTAGAGTTTAGCATAAAAATGTTGCTGAAAGAGAAAATCAACCAATGATTGAAACATTTCAGTGTTTTAATGATCAGAAAACTGTACTGACAAAATGTTTTTCAACATCCACTTCAGAACTACAGGAGGTTACCTGCATCCCAGAGTCATTGGAGAAATGTATTCTTACTTTATTAAACAAATTTAATCTTATGAGGATGACGAACTGTAGCTTCAGCAGCAAATAAACAATCAGTTTATCTTATTGCCAGATCCATTTCACGAGTTTAGAGGAAACGTGTGTTGATGAGACTGGCAGAAGTGTTCAGATGTAGTCGTCATCCACAGGCTCTCCAGGGGTGTCACACTGATGAAGGAAGAGGACCACCACTCTCTGAAACACCCCTCGTTTGTTCTGTCTGCGCTCAGAGATCTCCTCACCAATCGTCTCCATGCAGATGTCAGCAGACAGCTGACCTTTACGCCGCGGGGCATAGATGGTGGCTAACACAGAGCACAGAGAGACAAACCATTATATTACAGGAAGACCATCGATTATCTTTACAGCAGCTTCAGTTCCAGTTCACTTCTGCCCATGTCCAGCAGTCACTGTGCAAGGTCCATCATAGAGACAAACAACTACTCATAGGGGTAATGTAGAGTTAGCATTTAGCCTGACGTTCATGTTTTTGGTCTGTGGGAGGAAGCTGGAGTACACGGAGAAAACACATGCATGCACAGAGAGAACACACAAACTAGGCAGAAAGGTCCCCAGCTGGTAGTGATGTCTTAGATTCTTGTCAGATTATTATTTTTTTAATTATAGCAAATATCTGTCTGTTGCACAACAAAATAACTTGAAAATACATTTTTTATTAGTTAGACTAAATCAGGGGTGGGCAATCCTGGTCCTGGAGGGCCGCAGCCCTGCATGTTTTATTTTTTTCTCTGCTCAAACACACCTGATTTGAATGAATGGGTGATTATCAGGCTTCTGCTGTACGGAGGACCGAAACTGACACAATTAAAAATAAAAGCGGAAACAAATAAATTGACTAATAAGTAAATACACTTAAAGTGCACCAATAAAAAAAAGAATTTTATTTAAAGTATGTATGTATATGTATGTGTATGTGTGTGTG